CCCCCCTCCTCTCTTCCCCTCCCTCCTTCCTCCACCCCTACTCGCAAAACACCTTCTGGCCCTTCCTCCGTTTCCTCCCCTCTTGCTCCCTGCCTCCCCTCCTAGCTTCCTCCTCCTTCTCCCGCTCCTCTCCTTACTCCAACCCGCGTCTCCCCTCTCCTCCTCATCTCCTCGCTCCTCCTGCCGCTGCGCCCGCTTACTACCTCCTCCATCACTATCCTCTCTCGTCCCCTTCTTAGGCCTTCCCTCCCTCCCTCTCATCACCTTTTTCCCCTCTCCTGCCTCCTCCCTCCTCCTCCTCCCCTTACTCCCATCCTTATCTTCGTCTCTTCTCTCTCTCCTCCTCCTCGCTGCCCTCCCAGTCCTCCTCTGAATCTGGACTTCTTCGTTCGATCTCCTCCTTAACTTCTCCCCTCCTCCTCTTCCTCCTCCTGCAACCTCCTCCTCCCTACTCCATCCCCTCTCCTTCTGCGGCATGCCGATACTCCTCCTCCTCCTCTCGCTCCTTTCCTTCTCCCCATCCATCCACAATCAACCCTACTCCCATCACCTCTTCCCCTCCTTTCCATGCCTCTACTTCCTCCTCCCCTTCACGCTTCCATCTCCTTCTCTCATTCTCCCTCCTTCCTCCCTCCTCCCCTATTCCCCTCTCACCTCCCTCCTCCTCCTCCCCTCCTCCTCCCCCTACTCCATCGCCTTCTTCCCTCCTCCTCCTCCTCCTCCTCCTCCTCCTCCTCCTGCCCCCTACTCCTCCTCCATGACCGTCTTCATTCGATCTCCATCTCAGGGGCAGGTACGTTTATGTAAACACAGGGTACATATATGCTGAGAAGATACAGGTCTGGTACACAATTGTGTATACAATCATATACGCAGGAGCAATAATGACAAACCTGATAATGATAAACCTGATAATGACAAACCAATAATGACAAATCCTGATATACGTACCTCGGGTACATATCTGTAGTACCTGATACGACAACGACCCCTTCAGCTGCCGAGTACGCATACGTACGTATGTAGTAAGTGTTACGAGAGCCCAAACCCTCTCATAACTTGAGATTAAGATGAAAATAACACAGTTACACACAGAATTGTAATTATAGTGATATTATATTTTATATTAATGAGTAAAATGTGTGTTTTTCATAGAAAATACATCAGAAAACTTACTTATCTACTGATGATGAACTAAAACACATATTTACAAATGGGCGTTTGTTCTCTTGTTTTGAAGGTTTGTTGCGTCCATAGAAATAGATAGATAACCATCTATTGGTTATCTATCTATTTCTATGATTGCGTCAAAGCAAATCAAAGCAGCCAATCAGAGGAACCCGTGTAGGACGTTTGCGCATTTGCGGTACGGAAAAAATAGACGCTTCCGCGACGGTGGAGCGTCCAAATAAATACTCCGATGCAACGACAGAGGGCACTGCTTTGAAATGAAGGGAAAACTGTCATGTCAGCCTCCATGAGCCGTCAACCTTTCCCAGAAATTTCTTGACACATAAATTAGCTTTTTTATTGGACAGCTTTGGTTTAGGTTCTATGTACAGAACAACAATACCAACAATGTTTAATGAGCATCGTTGCCGTTGGTGTACAACAGTTTTGTTTTGTGTAACACCGAAAGAACATCTACTGATCTAGACTACACGTACTGCGTTTAACGTACTCGTAGTGGTAGCCATACATTATTATTATTAATAAATAATATTATTAGTATTACATACACTCGTAGTCGTACATCCTAATTCCTATGTGGGGTTATAGTTGATGTGCAAATGAAATGGAAGTGGATGATAATCTGACGAGACAGGTATTTGCACGAAATGAACATTGATTTATAATTATTAATATTACTATTATTAATATTAACCAAAGAAGAAGGTAGAGAATTCCAATATAGAATAGTAACAAATAAAGAAGCTAAACTTTAAAGGATCATTTGCAGATACTGAGATAGTTAGTATAGCTGATGGGGTCTATGTCTTCCTGGGTACTGCCGGAACGTACCCTGGTTACTATCTGATAGGGTTAGGGAGTAGGCGTAGGCGACTCCCTAGACTCGTTAGTGGAGTAGGCGAGGTACAGTCCGGCATATTAGATAGTACCAGGGTACGTTCCGGTATACCGGACCGTACCCAGGGTACGTTCCGGCAGTACCCAGGGAGACATAGACCCTGGCAGCGTTAGTATAAATTAAAGCAGTGATCACGCTTGGATGGTCAAGTGCTATAAATTCACTTCATTAAACAATAGGGAATACCAGTCTTCATCCAAACATGATAAATTTTATGAAAAGTTAAGTTTTAAGTTTTTGTTAAGTTTAAGTTTTGCGTGAAGAATTTGTGTATAAAGAGGAGGCTAATTAAGTTGATTCAAAACAACCTCAGAACTATCATGATGTTTTTACTTACTCATCTCGCAGCTTTATGCTGAGTGCCATTTAGCTCCCTTGATAAAAACACAAGTTGAATTCAACCCTTGATGTTCATTGGAAATTTAAAATATATTCCAACTTCAAATTATTTCCTGGGTTGTCCCAGAAACATCATTACCTATCAGAAATCTACTGGTATGGTTCTTCAGCAGGCAGTGATATTAGACTTGAATGATCCTTGTGTTTTTATTGTGTAAAACTGGTAAGCCATGTAACAAGTAGATCCTAGAATAGTGCAGCCTATCCTAGGCTGTAAGTGGCAATGGGGACACCACACTGTTTTTTAGCTTTTCTTCCTGTCAGCATTCACCAAGCTTTTATTTTGCTGTAACTTAACTTCGAGCTATTTTTGTGTAAGTGTATAATTTTGATTTAGACATGGAATGTGTGCGTGGTAAAATAGTATGTAGTACTGATGACCGATTCCTCAGGTTGAGGAGGTGGAAGCACTGACTGCTATATATGGAGAAGAGTGGCATGTAGAGGACGAGATGTCCAGGACATACTCAATCACTCTTACTGACATGACAGGAGGTGTGGAAATATCGCTATTCTTACAGGTTAGCTCAAGGCAGTTTATCCGAAACAATGGAGATCTCATAGAACAAAAAAACAGTTAGTAATATGTGACCATATTGTTGTTAGCTTGTTTCGTAAATTGATTTTGCATGATGAGTAAAACCTTGAGATTGATAACTGTTGTAAAATTGCTGCCATGCAGTTATACTATCAAACCAGTTTCACGTGCGTGCTCCTCATGACCCCCCTACATCCCTTCCACTACATCTATTTCTTGCTGTACATGCCATTTTTTCTTATGTTAATCAAGCTTACCCTTTACATATATGCACACATGTTAGCAGGAGTGAGTATTATATTTACAGGTGACATTGCCGACTGACTACCCTGGTGGAGCACCACCGATATATCAGTTGAGGTAGATCGACACATGATACACGTGGGTAGGAGTAACATATGAATAGATCTATCAATTGCGTTACTCCTGACACGGCATATTTGCGCATAATGTGCACCACAGTTGCACTTGTAACATGCATGTGTTTTGAATTCAATACACTAAAGCTGTCTTGTTACTGTTTTTAAGCTTTTTAGAATTTAAATGAAATTGTCATTACTTAAATTACATTAATTTCACACCTGTCAGTGCACCATGGCTGAAAGCTTTGGATAAGGTTGAACTTTGCAATGCCCTGGAGAAAATATATAGGTATGTAAATATATGATTTTGTGTGATCGTGTATTTTTATATTTTATGTAAAGAGTACCCGACTATGTGCCAGGTGTGTGCTCTATATGCATTTGTCATTGCAGTGTATGACATGAACAATCGGATAATGCCTTGTACTATGTGGAGCGGAATTGGCAGATGTTTTCATTATTTCATACATGATTTAATACATGTAGGAGAGTTTTATATTCTCACATTTATAAGGCTAAGCACATATATAGCAATATGATCCTAGCAATATGATAAACTGAGCACAAAATCTCAAACTTTGCTTCATTTGTCGCAGACTATAATATTATGTTACTAAGAGGTCCCGAAGTTAACAGATAGTTTACAGCAGAGTTTTGTGCTTGTAGTGATAACATTGGAGAATGCATCCTGTATCAGTGGGTGGAGAAGGCTCGGGAATTTATAAACAGAAAGGCCTTTGATAGCACAGGTGAAGAATTACACGTAGCCTTTGCATATAAAGTTTATTGATTTCTGAAATGATATCTACCCCCATTTTTTTACATCCTGTCTGTTCTGTAAAATGGCCGTCTTGTAAGTGGATAATGAACATGTAGATTTGTAGTGAATCCCTGCAGAGCAATGGTACTGCCTCCTGAGGTTTTGCAAATGGGATCAGCACTTTTCTAAATTGGAAAATTATCTAGAATGTATACCGAATCCCTTCTTATGATCTCATGCGCATCAAGAAATAGCATGTCAACAACTGTCCTACAATTACGTGTGGAAATCCGTCCGTATTTTGTGTATCTTTTATCTTTATAATTATATCTTGGTTTTCTTAAAGCTGTTAGCAATCGTAAATAATAAATATATGGCCTATATAAATGATCAGAAAATGCGTTGAATGCTGTCAATGATAACGGATAATGTTCTTGCTTTGTAGAAAGTAAAGAAGTCGTACAGCTGCCACTTGAATGTGGTAATTTTCCACCAAGTTTATCCGTTTTCAATCAAACGCCTGAAGAGCAGCTGCCAACAACACAGGAACGACTTGCTGCTTCTACCAATAACCTAGAAGATGTGCCAGCAATTTTACATGGCGAGCCCTTCGTAGATAGAAAGAGTACCTTTCAGGCACATCTATCATCTGTTTCAGACCTAAACCAGGTGTGTTCCTCTATAGGCACGCTAAATACTCCACGTCTATGGATTTATGCTCTCCATAACTGACATCATTAATGTGTTTAGTTCTAGCGCTGTAGCCCTTATGCTCTGTGATAAGCCGATTGCCTATTATGTATCGTTTAACCCGAAGCATGGGGGCTATAGTGCTAAAGCACTAAATGTATTTGACATCTGTGTAAAGTTCAGGATGATCTTTTTTGCGATCATTTTTAGCCGAGAGAAAATAACAAGGAAATAATAGCAAAAATGGCAAGGCAATACATTTAAGCGTTAACGTCTTTGCATGAACGTTTAATGCCAGTTGTGTATGGCTGAGTTAATGTTAATGACTTTCGCTCTGACGTGTTGTAGGTTAAGAAGGTGATGATAACATTGCTGGCTAACAAGAAGATTGCGCATGCAACGCACAACATCATGGCATACAGGCTGTTCGATGCCGCGAAGAGCAGCTTCCTGCAAGACTGTGACGATGATGGTGAGACAGCAGCTGGAGGGAGGCTGCTTCATCTGCTACAGGTTAATTAATTGGGTATTTTATTAGTTGCTCCTGCAGGCAGGCAGTTAGGTGGTCAGTCGGTCTAGTCGGTCAGTTCGTTTGGTCG